ATAATAATAATAATAATAATAATAATAATAATAATAATAATAATAATACTCCGCTTTGAAAAGAAGGACCGGAGAAAGGCCATGGCCATTATTCTAACCTTCCCACTTCAAAGACTGGCTGCTGGTAAGAGAAGTTCCATGGGGAGGAGGGAGCAGACAGGAACCTTCTCAACAGAAGAGCATTTCATTTCCTTTAGCAAGAACTGAATTCCTGGTTGGGATTGGGGAGTAGCTCTGAATTGCACTGCTGTGAACTACTGGCCTGGTGCCTCAAGGCCATTCCTCAACAGGAAACAGAATGTTTTAATGCAAGACTGAGAGGAAAACCTTCCCAGGAAGAGCAACCTGGACCAAACCTTTGAAAATATGGGATGAAAAGGCCCAAAGTAAATATAAATCGGCAGGGTGCTCTCTCTGTCTCTTTCCCTCTGCAGTGTTTTTTTGCTGTTTGCTTGGCCTCTCCTTCACGATCCTTGGAAAAGTAAAACTCTTCATGACTCTTTGATCCCCATGTCTTCTGGAGCAGTTTAAAAAAAGGGGGGGCAGGAAACTAAGGAGGCTTTTTAAAAACTTGGGGGTTGGAGAGTTTTATGAGGAAATGGGAACTAAGTTACTTTGTGGCAGACCACCTCTGTTGAAAGGGGCATTTTTCCAGAGAGGACTCAACTTTGCTTTTTTAAGAGGTCAGGAAGATTTAACCAAAACAAACAGTAAAATAAAATCAGACTCCTGGCAGAGCAACAGGTGTATGTTTCTTCTTTGTATGTATGGATACAGTAAAAGAGAAGATGTACTGTGGAGCTATAAATGTGGCAATAGAAATTAGTTTAGGTTTTGTGTTTGTATAGTACTTGTTTTCCTGGAGCAATTTTACTTATTTCCACAAACTACCCACTTCATCTTCCGATGGGTACTGGTTATGGTAGGGTAGATACTTTGGAGAGATGTTTGCATCATAATCTGCATTTAAATAAGCTGGAGTTCAAATGTGGACATGCATGTGGTTCCATCTTTAGTTTTGGTCATGATTTACTAAAACTGACATGTTTCATGTTGATTGGAAGTGGTACATACATTTTTAAACTTCAGAATTTTTGCTTGAATCAAATTCTCAATATTATAATTGGAGCAACACTCAAAACAGTTGAATAACACATATAGGAACCTCTATATAGTTTATAATTATGTAGGAAAAGAATGCTTTGCATCTTATCTCTGTTACACCAGTATTGGCCAATGCAGAAAATAATCATCCAGCATTTGATTACACCAATTCAGACCTGCTTCTGTTTGTTGTCTATGTATTTCAGTGCCCAATTCAATGAGCTCAGTCCCAGTAGATAATAGTGGGCTAGGCGGACATATTGTTTGACCTGGCACAAGGCAGCGCTGTACTATTTTCAAGCCATATGTTTATATTTCAAGTGCTACTGACTCTGTGAGACAGGAAGGCTTACTGGCCTTTTATTATCGAGTACTTAAAACAGGATTGCCCAACCTTTTTGGACCAGCCCATGAGCAGATCTGGGACTTCGAAAAACTGCTGCAAGCACCGTCAGCATGCCTAATCAATGAGTGGATTGTCGCTTTGGCATGTCCCTGTGGTGTCCATGGACCTTAGGCTGCATCTTGTTGACTCTGCAGCATCTCTTTAATAGGAGTTGTTTAATTCAGTTAATTACTGGTGCCTGTTTGTTCTTTAAACATATATTTTTGGCAATGTGTAATAGATGCTTTAATAGTCACTGACATTCTTGCTTTTAAACTATTTACTGCTTCATGGAAAATGACAAAATTGAAGGAAAAATGGATTCTCTCACGTCATGTAATTGAATGGACTGAGGACACTGCAGTGCTTTCAGCATATGAGTGGGTGGCAACTGTAGGTGCCAAGTTCAAATGAATACATATTTGGATATTTGGTTTCATTTTTCTGAAGGCTATATAATTGCTAGGCAGCTGTATGCATTTTGTAGAAATTCTCTCTCTCTATTCATTTTTAACACAGAGAGAGGAAGGGAGGAAAGGGGTGCCTTTTGGGTGCTTGCAGATTCCACACTGGGGATGCCTTAGAAGCGGTCTACTTTCTAGTCAAGTGAATAGAAAGGAACAAAAGTTCTTACAGACATGGACTTAGGTTGCTTCCTGCAGTTATCGTCAGATTCCTGTAAGTAGGGTATTAGCAGATTTTCGCTACAGTTAATCTAGCACTATGACAGTGAGATCCAAGTGCACTTACTTTCTGAGGCCCAGGCTTCTGGTTTCATTGTCCGTGTGCAGCAAGAACAAACCACAATGGCTCAGAGTAGGACTTTTACAGTGGATATTCTGTAGCATTTTGGTACTGTACCGTCCATGGGGTTTTCATGGCAAAGATACTGGAGTGGGTTGCCATTTCCTTCTCCAGTGAAGAGGAACTAAAGAGACTTTTGATGCGGGTGAAGGAGGAGAGCGCAAAAGCTGGCTTGAAACTCAACATTAAGAAAACTAAGATCATGGCATCCGGTCCTCTCACTTCCTGGCAAATAGATGGGGAAGAAATGGAGGAAGTGACAGATTTTATTTTCCTGGGCTCCAAGATCACCGCAGACGGGGACTGCAGCCAAGAAATTAAAAGACACTTGCTCCT